ACTAAATAGCATTGTCTTCATCGAGATATGAACACAAAGTATTACCAAGTAACTGCCAGATAACATTGTGACAGTGATGTTAAATGAGCTTTGAAGAAAAATCTGAGATGACCAGGTGAATGTTCTTCTGAGCAGAAAGTAATTACCCTGGAAGCTGTCTGAAAATGACTAGAGACTAAAAGAATTTAGTTCTGACAGTATTTTCTGGAGTTTTTGGGACTGTGGTTTAATAAGACAGCAAATGGCTCCCAGGCTGACAGGACTGGAACACAGCTTGCAGCCATGAGATGGGAGGTACTGATCTTGCAGAAGTTCACACTGACAATGCGAATTCCCTGTAAATGATATGACAGGTCAGCATTAGTAGCTGGCTTTTTATGCTAGATTAGAGCTCTCATTGCATGGAGAGTCAGGTATTGTCTATCCCCTCATAGCTGACACAGAGCTGGCAGAGACTCCAGATTGCATGTTCATTGGCAAGTCGAGCACACCAGTGTGGTTGGTCAGAGCCCAGATTTCACTGAGCATTGGAGACAAGGCCTGGCTACTGAAACTCTGCAGTCCTGGGGAGCATGTGTGAATGCTGGGGAAACAAGATGCATACAGTATATAAAAACTTTTGGTGTCATGCATGTTTGCAAAGTCCCTTTACTAAATAAATTCTAATGTGATTCTACAGCCCAAACCTGGCCACATAAATAGGCATGAAGCAGATGTTTCTGAAGGGCCAGTTGAACTGTGACACAGTGTATCTAGTTTAAGATAAAACCAGCACTTTTTCCAGCTGCCTATCTTTGCTCAGAGCTGCAAACCTCATTACAAGGTTTTTTTTCATGATAATTTATTTAAAATTGGTGTGGAAGACTCTGACTACTCTTACTGTAGTGTGTGGGCCTAGTTCAGTGTAGCATACATTCGGGTAGTTAAGGAATATTGCAATCAGGTGAACTATGATGATATCATAATCAGGACATGCATTTTCAAACACTTTCTTTAGAAATCTAGAGCAGGAAACCAAATCAAAGCGAACAATGAAGACAGATGAAGCATGGAGACATACTGTATCAGGCAATCCCTGCTTCCTCCTCTCCTTCTGAATGGTCCTCACAGGGCAGTTCTGCTTCAGCGCTTGGCTTTAATTGGAGTCCAGCACAAAGCAAAAATCATTCCAAGGCTTGTAAACCTTTCTTTCAGCTAGGGCTATTTGTCCATATATCTTTCCATGGCAGCCAAACTGCCAATTACCATGGCATGTCTTTCCAAGTGACAAAACTTGCTTGCCTGCCAAGATAAAACATTTGGAAGGCTGCAAAGTGATGTAACCTGGGGACACCTCTGTATTGCTGTATCTTAAATGCTATTACACAGAGCTCTGCTAGTGATTTGAATTCAGGGCACGTTGTGGTAATTTAGTGAAGCCAGACTGGTCTCGTCAGACTAATACAATCCCACACAGGAGTCAGGGCTGATGTGACTGGCCCGGCATAGGTTTTGTAATGAATACTGCTGCTCTGTTAGTGTGATTCTTATGTGAAATTCTTAGAAAAGCTGGCAAAACTAGTAGTACAAGAAGCTAGAAAGGAGCACAAAGCTGACAGGACCAGCAGGTAAAAGACATGTTAGAAGAATGGCAGCTCCTTCCTGCCACTTCCCCTGTGCCTATAGTCCTTCATCTTCCCCAGGAGGGCACAGAGCAGTCACACAACACTCAGGCAGGCCCTTCTGCTTGGCACATCATTAGCAGTCTAATGATATTGACCTATCCACTGGAAGTGGGACTGGCACCAATGCTTTTTTAAGTATCAACCGTAGCCATCTCTCTTCTGCTTAGGAACAATGCAGTTCAGATTTGGATAACAAGAAGTCTCAGTGGATTGTGTTATTGGCACCTGCACTACCCAGTTCATTAAAGGGACTGGTCCAGAGTCTTATCACAGTTGCCTATGTGCAAGCCTGATGCTACTCCAGAAATACAGTAGACTAAATGAAATTTTAAAAAAAATTGGCTGATTGCTTTCAAATTTTCAGCAATCCTTTACAATCAAGAGATTTTTCTGCAGCTTCTCCTCTTTTAGTGGACAAACTCGTCCAGGTGGCCAGCAATATGGCTCAAGTTCATTGAACTAGCAATGTGTAAGCTGTCAGTTTTCCCTTTTCCTTTTTGGAATGGTAACATAAGTTCAGTAACTTTTGGGGAATCTGTGTATCTGTTTTTTTTTAGTTATTACTAACTCTTGTTGGTAATTACAAAGTGCCCAGGCTGGGCTTTTGAGGAACCAGTCTTAGTTTCAGCCCTTTACCTTCATTTAGAACAGCCAAGTTTTAGCACTATCTTGGAGTAAGTTCCTTCAAGATAAGAGACCACAGTTTTTTAAGTTCTACTGGGCTCCATTGTGTGAGGGGCAGGAAAGAAAAACACCATGGTAATATCTCCCTTCAAAGCACAATATTCAGGCATTCTTATTCCATAGTCACATCATGGCTACAGCTACAGTTTGAATTCAATTAAAAGCTTTTAATTGGTCATCCTTCCAAACATTTCCAAACTGTCATTCATTTTCAGATACGCCTAGAGATCTACTGTCCTAACATAATTTTAGTCTGACACAAAAGTCAATTATACTAATTGTTCAGCAGGAATTAGCCTCTTATGCATCATCAAATTATTACTGTTGCTAGGTTCATTTTACAAAGATCTTTCCTTTATCTGTACATAAGCAAAGCTAAGCACCAGCACTTGTAAGTCTCAGTACTGACTAGGGAATAACTACTTTATTGGAATGAGAACAGACATATATAATGAATGTACTTCTAAACTGACTGGAATATTGAAATAGGCTGCAAAAAGACACGTCCCCTTCAGCTATGGGATAATGACAGGAATTTTCTGATTTTTCACCAATTAAAAATACCTTTGCCTTAAACACAATTATTAATGAAGTAAATGTTTATCTGTGTGTCGACAAATATTAAAACAATATCTAAAGAACTTTTAATCAAAGTTGATGCTTCTGAGGTCGTTCTGAGAATGTGCCCTCTTACCTCCATTTAAAACTCACTTATAGCATGTCCATTCAGAAAATTGAGTGATCTGGACAATTTGAGAGGCATACGTGTATGTGCAGAAGCCAGCTCAGGTGTATGTGAGAATGTGCTGAAAGATAAGCTCCCAGGGGAAATTCTAGGGGAGTTCTAGGTCAGTTAGAAGAGAGGTGAAATCTGACTGTGAGAACAAGGCAGAGAGTTTGGAAGGAAGAAGGACAGGCAATTTTTTGGATTAAAGGACTCTTGATGATTTGGGCAAATAAATGTTTTTTCATGGTCAGAAAATCTTACTTTTATGTGAGAAAAACTTCATTGGGATGTGGAACTCATGGTATGCTTTCCCTTTGAACTGAAATTCCAGCAAAGCCCTGGATTTTGACAGGTCATGTCAAAGAATCCTGTGACAAAGTGAAGGAAGAGCTGGGGCCAGGCAGATCTGGCAGCAGTGCGAGAACTCACACTTTTTTCCAGACAATTTGAAGGAGAGGCTGTACTCTCTCCCCCGAAGCAGCCACAAGAACTGAATTGGAATAATAATACAGCCACTTAGGAAATTGTCTCATCAATAAAACAGAAACATTCACTGGCAGATTTACCTGTGTGGCTCGTCAGCCATCCTAAAATGTCCTAGATGGAAATTACCTCCGTATACAGAAGTTGTTTCTTCCTTTAAATTGATGTGGCATTTTCCACAGCATTATGTTTGACTTATGATTTTATTCAGCACACAAATGTCAGCACAGACACGAGGAGCTGTGCAATTAATTTTTAAGGAAGGGCAAATAGAGTCAGTGAGGTAAAAAGAGCAAGTTAGCATAAAACATAAAAGCAGGATGATAAAACTCTGAAGTATGTGCATAGGTCTGCGTCTCAGTATTCAATAGCCTGATGGAAAGTACGATGATACAGTGAAGAAAACAGAAGGCATCTAAAATAAACTGAGGCAGGGCAGAAAAACAGTGATGTTACAGGAGATAATAGTTCAAGTAATTTTGTGTGCATCGGGACCATCACATGTACAGTTCTGTGGCTATAGCTATAGTAAAGCCTGCTGTAAAATTTAGTCAAATCAATTGTAGTTTTCCTCTCCAGCAAGACATGGCAGTGAGATAAGGAATCAGAGGTAAACATCTGCATAAAACGAAAAAGGTTTTTTTTAGCCAGGAATGCAAAGCCTCAGTCCTAACCTCAATCTTGTTGCTGATGAGACGATGAGACGTGTGCTTTTCCATGCCACATTTACCCGCGTGCAGAGTAAAGCCATTGAATGTTTGAGAGTCCTTCCACCCGGGACAGTCCCGTTCCCGGTGAAACACCTCAGCCGAGAGAGCCGGGAGCAGCGATCCGGGCAGGGGTCACTTTCGGGGACCGGACTGCGGAAGCCGACCCCGGCCCACCTGGCTGTGCAGAATTCATAGAGGGCTTTTCACCGCTGTCACCTGCCTATTCCTACCGGGCCACAGCCTTTCCAGGCTCGCCGGGACCCCGGCTGGGCGGCGAAAGGGCGGGCGGGTGTCGCCCGTCCAGGGCGCGGGCCCTGGGCCGGCGCTGAGGCGGAGGCTGTGCCCAGCGGGTACAGCGCTGCTGCCGGCAGCCTCGGCCGCGGTCATGCCCCTAGGACGGGGTCCCTCTTGTTCGGGCCGCGCCACTTCGGTCTCGGGCTTCGGTGCGGTCTTTCGGCAGAGGAAAGGGGCGGGGGAAGGCGGCTCCGGACCGCCCGGCGGGGCCCCGAGCAGCGGCGGGCGCGGGCGGGAGCCAATGGGTGCCGGCGCGGCCGTGTGACAGGCGGGGCGGCCGCTGCCCCCGCCGGGCGGGGAACCTGCACGGCGGCGCTCGGCAGCATCATCCGCGGCTGCGGGGCTGACACACGCCTCCATCCTCTCTCCCGGCAGCCGCTCACACGCGCCTCGCCGCGGGCGGAGCGGAGCGAGGGGCGCCGCGGCAGACAAAGCAAAGATGGCAGGGATCCTCGCCTGGTTCTGGAACGAGCGGTTCTGGCTGCCACACAACGTCACCTGGGCGGACCTGCAGAGCACGGAGGAAGCAGCCTTCCCGCAGGCGGAGGACCTCTACCTCGCCTTCCCCCTGGCCTTCTGCATCTTCATGATCCGGCTGCTCTTCGAAAGGTAACGCCGAGCCCCTCGCGCCGCCCCGGGCTTGGCTGGGCTGGGCGGGCCCAAGGGCAGCCGAGGAGCTTTGTCAGCCCAGCGTCTTCCCTCGCCGCTGCTTCACTGCCGGCCTTACCGGGCCCCTGCGTTATCCCTGCCCCCTCGGTCGGTCACGTAGCGGGCCCGATGCAGGAAGGTGGAGGGGTTCGAGGCAGCCGGCGCGGCGTTCCCGCTGCCTGCGGCGCGGCCCGGCGCGGGCGCTAGGAGGCGAGGTCTGCCCGGGAATGGGCGCAGCCCTCCCGCCACCTGCCGCGGCCACGGCGGGTGGGGGACAAGGGCCCTCCGGCACCTGTGCGGACTGGGGCGCCTGCCCGCGACCCACGGGCTCCGGCGGGGTCCTGTCCGCCCCCCTCACTGAAGCTCCGCCAGAAGAGCAGTGGCGACCGGCCGCGGCGGGAAGTGGTCCCGGCGGGGGAGTTTGCCCGCGCCCCGCCGCAGGGCCGCTCTCCACAGCGGAGCCCGCGCTGGGTGCGCTGCGCGGCCGGAGCCGGCGGCAGGAGCTGGGGCCGGCGGCTGTTCCGCTGCTCGGCGTGGGGCTCAGCTGGGAAGGGACAGCTCTTGGTGAGGGCAGCCCGGTGCAGCGGGGCTGAGCAGAGCTGTGCGTGGCCAGTGCAGATGGTGTCGGTGAGCGGTCCGTGCCGAGTGTCGGAACACTCCTGGGGCTGTCAGAATGTGGAAGCTCAGCGATGAAACGCGCCAGACGCTGTTCATCTCTGAACCAAACTCACCGTTCTTCGAGGCTGCTGAACTCATGAACCAGGTTGAACAAATACATGAATACGTATATATGCATACCTAAACATAAAGCGTCAGACTAGCGATCGGTCAGCGGGGACTGTATTTTCGGTGAGTGCTCCCGTGCGGATGCTGAGCAGGGGCCGCCTGTCACGGGGAGGCAGCTGAAGCCAAGTGGGCGCTCACTTGTGCACGCTGCTGCGCCGTCTGACAAAGGTGGTGCTCCTCAGCAGCAGAGAACAAAAGAATGATTCCTTTTGCCAACACCTACGTGTTTTCAGTGGTGTTTTCTTAGGCATGCTATTAGGGTAGTCAAGGAAGATAAAGGAAGACTGGTAGTTACTACATGCCAGAGAAGGGCTGTAAAGATACTTTAAAAATGATAAAACAGCTTATCTGCCAGGTACTGCTTCAAATTTCCTAAGCATTCCCTCTCCCTGGTTAGAACTTGCCTGTGTTCCTAGCTTGGTTGAAAAGATCATATTTGTTTTGAAAAATAAGGTGTCATGGGCCGTTGTTATCTTTTGTGTTGCTTTACAGATTTACTGAACAGCAAAAATTGTCATCTGCCTGAAAATCTGAGGTTGTGAAAAGTTAATTGAAGCAATTGAGTTGTACTCATTACTCAAGTTGTTAACTATATTGCACTAAATAGTGCAATATTGTTAACAACTGGATTAATGAGTACAATTACAAGTATTTAGATGATGTCAAATAATTACTTTTTTTTTTTTTGCAATCTATGATGTGTACTTTTGAGTGTTGAAAGTGGGTGCATGATATTGCATCTCCTGTCATCTGAACTGCAATAAGCATCGCAGCAGGACTGTGTTTTGATGGAGGAACAGCTAGTCAGATAGTTTCAGCCTCAAATTTAACTCACATTTCTGCTAATCCTGATGTGGCTGTTGTTAGCATTGTAGAAGCTGCTCTGATTATGTAGTAGTTTGTATCCACTTACTCTTGGTAATTTTCGTCATTTAAAGTAATGTTTAATTTTGCAATGCATTATATTTTTAGGTGTTAGTTATACATATAGATGATAATACCAGTATTTTTAAAATTCTCTTGTATTCATTAGATGGATTTTGAAATTTATATCGAGAAATGTGTTCTTCTAACCTGATTGTAGGTGAGAGATGTCCAAGGATATTTTATTAGCAATTACTTAGGTATGTATTTTTTCCTTTTAAAATTAAAATAAATTTCAAAACTCCACTGTGAGAGTAGGAGTGACTGTTTTGTGTGGGATTAATCCACTTGGCATGGTACAACAGTGATTTTTCATGTAGAGCGTTTTATTAAAGCAGGCTGAGCAAAAGCAACTGGACCTGTTTCCACTGATGAAAGTAGGGGGATTGTGTATGTCTTTGAATGGGGGAGTGATCAAGGTTAATTATTGCTTACTGTTAATTGGTTTTTTCAAATTTCTGTGCTTTGGTTGTTGGGAGCTACAGAAATCCTTCATGCACATCATCAATTAAAGGTCTGCAATTATGCATGATTTAGAAGGGGAAAGAGAGAGATATCTTTAAAACGGAATTTTTTCTTTCTTCTCTGTATCAAACCATTTTTTTCAACTCAAGTTGTGGATGACTGATGTATGTACTTTATCCTGCAGCATGCTCTTACAGATGTTTAGCAGTTGCAATGGTAGCAGCTAAAGAAGAAATAAAAATTGATTCTGTAACATATTTTGAAACCTTGCAGATTTATTTTTAGATCTGTGACTGTACTGTAGTATTTGTAACATCAGTGTAGTCTCTATTTTGTTTTGTAAGATGCCTGAACTCCAATACAGGTGCTTTTGGAATTCTGCACACTGGTAGGTAAGCAGACACAAGATGTTAATAATCTGATTATGTGTTTTTTATCCATTATTTTCAGACTGCTTCACAGCAGCTGACTGATAGGCTGCTGTAGTAGTATGGTTTATTCCTCTGCTTCATAGGAAGGGTTACTAACTTCATGAATCCTCACAATAGTAAGAAATACGGTTTTGAGGAGTTGAACTTTACCTGTCTTTTTTTACAATGTTCTTGACATGTTTGGGTGATGCAACTTGCAATGCTCAAAGTTGATATTATTTTTATATACATATGTGTTTATGTGTATATATTTGCAGGTGGAATTGAAATGCTAGAACTTGGAAATTTTGTTCTCTACATATACATGTATTATTTACAGAGTTAATTCTACAAGGATTGTTGTTATTTGTTACTGGTTTGGTGAATCAGCTAACCAAGCCAAGAAAATAATCTAGACACTTCTTAATTTTTTTTTTTTTCTCCTTTCAAATGGGTTGCTTTTATAATTGATTTCCTTGTCCTGCTATCCCTGACCAGCCCTCTTGAATGAAAGGAAAAAGTAGATTAAAATGGTATGTTTAGTCACCTCATCAAGTAGCTCTGGTTGTGATGAGTGCTCCCGAAATAAGCTTTGGTCTGAGGTACAATCTCATAGCCATGAGATTTAGTGGATGTATCTGCTGAGGTTATCATAGGATGAGATGTTAAAATACTTTTAACAGCGTTTTTCCATTCCTTCTCATTCATCTTTCTTTAAACACAAAGTACATTTTAGAAAATGGTAATAACTAAGCACAAATATAGTGTTACCTAGTAATTTGCAAGATGGCAGAAGTTTTGCAATGCAGTGGGTAATGTGGGAACATATTTCCCCCAGTATGTATCCATTTTGTGTGTCTTACTACGTTTTTAAAGGTATGTAACAGTTAAGGATACCCCCTGTACTATACAATGCCTTCAGGTAATGTAAGTGCTCAATAGTAAGTCTCTGTCTCCCTGAATCCTTTCCAGTTCTAGTGTGGCAAAGACAGCTTAAAGCTGAATTGAAACTGGACTTACTAATAGCAGGGTGTTGTAGTTTTGGTTGGCCTAAGAAAGATAAATAAACATCTGTTCTGGGTAAATAAAATTTTTCTTCTTTTGTTTAAGGGACAACGTGGCTCTTCTCCCTCTGTGCTAGACCTCACTGCTCAGAAGCAGCATCCTTTCCTAAACCCCTAAACGTGTCCTCTGCAAGGAGTATGTGCTTATACAAAAACTGTTCATTCAGCAATCAGTGTGCTTGCTGGACACAAAGCAAGAGAGTAACACTTCTGTTTTAGAGACTTCTCTCAAGGCAGAAATTGACTGAATCCTCCAAACGGATTCCTGAAAAATCAGATTTCTGATGTGGTCTAGCAATCTTCTGAGTCAAGTAGTCTGATATTGCTGCTTTCTGTACGCTTGGCTCATCTATTGAAGTTACTCATACTTCATCTCTGCACTGTAGTTGCACTGTATTTTATTTCCCTCATCTTGTAAGCAGCAGTTTGGGCCCAGATCTAATGAAATCCCTCAATGAATCAGCAAACTGCTTATACTGTAATTGTAATCTGGCCTTGATGGGGAGCAGTTCTCAAAGGTGATGCTGATATTCTGCAGTTGATGGAATGGCTCATAAGGTCAGCTTGATTATATATAGCAACAGCCCTCCAGCTGCACTGACTTGGGCTGAACCAGCCACATCATTTACTATTACTCTGATCCAGATGCTGTCGACACTGAGCATATGGAAATTCATGGCTTTTATATGAAACTGCTTTTGTAATGATAATTCAGTCTCAAAGGTAACCTCAGCTGATTTTCATTTAGCATGACACAGACACCTAGTGGATCTCGGTCACATGAGACAATGACTGTATTGTTATGTATATATATATTTTTGGTAGCTATAAAAATTCATTTGGATGACAATACATACAGTCTTATGAGTGTTTCTGGTGTGTAGTGTATACATACAAATTTGATTTTTGTACTCCCTAGGACATCTAGTATCAGTTGATTTTTACAACAAAAAAGAGGCTAGACAGGATACAAATTTTGGAAGTGAGTGTACAAACTTCCTGTACTTCCAGCAGCCCAAAACCTCATCTGAAGAGGTTGGGTGGGGCACTGATGGTTATTTCAGTCAAAACCTTTTTCTAGGCTGTAATATTTAAAAATTTTTTGCTTACTTCCCTGTGTATTAGGCAAAATCTGATTGTTCAGGTGTAATTCATTTGTATGTAAGTGGATGCATGTGTTCTGACAATAACTTTCTCAGTTCTTTCCTTACCTTTTTTTTTTTAAATAATTTTTTTCATAAGCTGACATGTAGGGCTTTTTCTCTTTGCTTGATTGCTATTTACTAAATGCTTAATTCTGTCAAAATTGAAT